CACTTGTGATTTCCATACTCTAGCATTAAATGCAACTTGCCATCTGTACGAATCCTCGACCGATACTGGGGTCCGCTAAGCCATCAGTCCAGAAGAATACTGGTTATCCAAGTGTGCATTACGTCCCGAACGGGTCTCTTATTTAGTTGCCCAAATCCGGTTCGGAAGCTCATTGCTGAATTTTGGGTTTACTTTTGCTCTTGAGCCTTAGGGATATTCTGCTCCGGCATATTGAGCCAACCCCTAATATCTCAACAAGCTTCTTAGAGATTACGCGTGTCTATCTAATATGCTACATATAGGTCAGATGAACCCGCTAAGGCGCTAATAATACGTGTACCAAATACGAAGTCTATAATTTTTCTTATTGAATTAAATTCAACAAATTCAACCACTTCAATCATAATTTTATTAATTCCAACAAAATTCAATTAATATTTTTTTATTTCTTTCCATGTTTGACGTTTATTTAAATTTAAATCTTCATGTTTCTACATTCAATTATGAAAAGATATTCCGTATATTTAAAGGAAATATTTTTTTAAATCGAGGGGGATGTTTTTGTTTACTCCAGACATCATCACAAATCATTGTTACGTTCATGCTCCACAAACGCTAGTATTCGAATCGTCGTCATAAATAACTCGTTACTGAAGTGTTCCAAACGCAATGACACATTGCCAGCCATAACAATGGGCCCTCCTAGGATCCATGGATAAAACGCTGACCATTTGACCGTGATCAATATGGAGCTTTGACCCTCTAAATTGAATCCTCAACACGCAGTTGAAAGTTGAAAGTTGCAGGCCAAAATTGTGTAAAGAATTTGCCAGGAAACCCTGCTTGAGTACTCGTTCCTCGTTTAGACTAGATGAATAATCAACTACTACCTCCATCCCAAAAAGATTGATACATTTTGACTTTTCTTGGTCAATGGTACGTGGTAAAGCTTAGACAATGATTTTAGGTACTATATTTGTTTGTAATTTATAAATTTTATATTTTTATGTAAGATTTTTAAATAAAGAATATGTTCATATAATTTTCATATTTTAAATAATTTTGTATTAAAAGATATCATTCGTCAAACTTAACCATCATTGACAAGAAAAGTTAAAATGTATCAATCTTTTTGGGACGGAGGGAGTAATTTCGATGCTCTTACAATCTAACAATAGGTTAAGGTACATGGTACATCACTGTTCTACTTTATGTACATTCTTAAAATTTAAAAAGATATCTAATCTTTCAACGTTCAATAAATAATGTTACAAATGAGTTATATAAAAAAGTGTAGGTAACGAAATGTATCTCTAACTTTACTCTAATCTAATGGTACATTTGTTTTGTACACTTGTTTTTTTTTTATGTTTTTAAATGAGTTATATAAAAATTATCGTTCAATAAATACTCCGTACATATCAAGTATGAATGTACTAAACAGTAAACAAATATATAAGTCAAGTGCCTTCAGGCGTTAGCTATTTGATAGAATTCGTACGAGGAAAATAAGGAGATAAAAGATTACCTATTATGTTTCTTTTTTATTTATGTACTTATGGCACGGTAAAATTAATTTTTTTCTAATTCCACCCATGAATCTTACCGTGAATAGAGAGCATCACAAAACATAGATCTCTCTGAGAAAGGGAACATGTGCGAGTGTGCGACACCTTTCTTCACGTTGAAAAGCCAAATTCAAAGAATCATTTTAAAACATTGATAGACAGAAATTTTAAACTCTATTAGGAAAATATGATTCCTTATTTCATACCCTTCGTACCGTTACAGTATCAAATTCAATCAACTCAATAAATAAAAGGTAGATTTTATGGTACCTACCATACTTTTGTCCACATGGACCAATCAGAATGATGTAGTTGAATTATTTAAATCTAAATTAAAAATGATGTAATGATTTGGACCAATCAAGTGAGTCGTAGGTACGATACCCCATTTTTTAAATGGGTACCGGAGTTGTCACCTAAATAAAAATTGTGTTAGATATTTGTATAAGCGAGATATTTCCATCATTTGCAATGGAGCCAAAGATTCATTATTTTTTGGCTTGAGATTATGATGGAATAAAGCAAAATGACTCACTAAACTGTCTGCGCTTCTTTGTTATGGAGAAGCAGTCAGTCCATGCAATCTTGGACGCGATTTTCACTATGGGTCATCCGAAAACAGTCTCTGTGTTTTAGTATAGGGGTAAGACTGCGTACATCCGACCCATCCTTACCCCACCGTAGGTGGGAGCCTTTGCGGCACTGAGGTAAATGAAAATGAAAATGATTTGTATAAGTGAGATATTTGTGAATCGTGCATATGAATGAATTATACTCCATAATAGGTACCCCAAATTAAATGATTTAAAATAACAAACGGGAGATTTACCTAGATAGGAGTAAATAAAAGGATAATTGCAACAATAGGAGTTTAAAATTTAAATTCCCAAAATAGGACTAACTCTTCCTATTCTACCCTTTCCTTTGTCCTTGATAATAGGATTTTTGAACAATCATTATAAAATATAAAAAAAAATCAAAATAAAAAAATAAAATCCGTAAAAAATAATTAAAAAATATATAGACCCCAACCACCACCTCAGCCACCTTCAAGCACCGCCACCTTCGGTCGCCGGAAAAGATTGCCAAGTTGGGAAAAAAATGTCATCATGATGACAATTTTGAAGAGAAAGCTGGATATTTTCAAAGAGTAAAAATGTAATCTTTATTGTATTTTCAGAGAAATGTGGCATTTTTTTTACACAAGATGACATCTTTATGGCATTTTCGGAGTCGGTGGTGCTGGGAGGTAGAGGACGCGTTGATAGTGACCTACATATTTTTTAAATATTTTTTCGGTATTTTATTTTATTTTTTGGACTTTTTAAAAAAAATTTAAATAATTTTTTTTTTATTTTTAATTTTTTATTTTCATTTTAGTTTTTCACGTTTTCATTATTATTATATAAATATTTTATTATTTTATATATTTTTATTATAAATAATACTATGATTTTCTTATTAATAAAATAAATCTATTGGAATGATAGGAAGGGGGTAAAATGGGAAGAAGAGACATATATTAGTCCTATTTTGAGAATAAAAGTATTGTCTCCTATCGTTGAATTTTGGACTTATTTTCTACCTAGGCTCATACCCGATAACATAAAAAGTTAGACAAAAAGAACGGAAGGTACACACATAGACCATTTAGGATCTGAGTTGTCTCAATTCCAAACCATGTTCGTTACTTATGTCATTTCAATTTCAATGGGACCAAAACATTTGGGAGGGCTTCGGAGGCCAATCATACAAGTAATTAAGCAAAACAATACTCCGTAATTGTTGTTGTACATAGTTTACTATTTACGTTTATAAAAAAAAAAATTGTATAAGAAAACTTTTTTTGTCTATATAGACAAAAAGTTAGCGTGTACAAAAAGTTTTTTTGTTAAACAAAAGACCCCATTTCTTATTAAAGCATGACTTCTATAGTATTGTTTTATAACAAAATTTCTATCATTATAATTAAAATTTCATTAATTTAAATAGATTTAACCACTATAATTTTATTATTTTATTTATGTGTTACTTATACTTGTAAAAATATGGAAGATAAATTGTCTTAAATAGGACAACTATTTTTTATGTTTGGAATAGAAGTAATTATTAATATGATTTTGAACATGACATAATTTTTCAAATTTGAATAATTATTTTTATATAGAGAATAAATTATCACAATCGTATTTTGAAAATACAAAACGTTGATACTAGTATTTTGGAAATTAAGGGAAGAACTATTCTTGGCAACCTATAAAACCTTCGTAGTAACAAAAGTTAAGAAAAGGATCTGAGGCACACGTGATGTCATAATTACTAGGAGTGTTTAGCGCGCACGAGTAGCTCAGTTGGTTCAGTGGTAGAAAATTTGGAACAATGATTAAGATTCGAAACCCGTAAAGGCCGTGTGGGGGTTACAACTTCTGCATGTTGGGTTGAATCTCTGGTGCGCACGGGTATAAGGTCTACCATCATTAGATCGATTGAGTCACCGTAACTTATATTCGCCCAAAAATATTGTCGGGTCGGGATGTGGGGGCCCTTGGGGTTGGGGACTCAATTTGGAACTGAGCTATGCTAGAGTCACCTTATTTTGTACCTCATTTTATACCCCACCCTATGTTTGTGGTTCACAAAAATCCAACCCAATTAAATTAATTGCTCTATTTTAATGAATTGAATGAAGTGATTTTGTGGTAGTACGGTATAAAATGGGTTATCTTTCTCATTTGTGTTTGGAACAATACTAGGGAAAAAATTCCACTTTTTGTCCCATGACTATTATGCCACTTCCACATTTAGTCCCTTACTTTCAGATTGCCCACATTTAGTCCGTGGCCATTATCCCCTCACCATCCATCGTCCTTCCGGCCAAAATTCCGGCAAATTTAATGCAGATTTTAGGTATGAAAACCAAATTTAATGCAAAGATTGATATGAAAAACCCAACCTGATACAAAATGTAATGCAAAGACTGATTCTGAGGCTGAGAAGTGGACTAAATTTACCGAAATTTTGGCCGGAAGGACGAGGGATGGTGAGGGGATAATGGTCACGGATTAAATGTGGACAATCTGAAAGTAAGGGACTAAATGTGGAAGTGTTATACTCCCTCCGTTCCCAAAAATATTTCCCACTTTCCTTTTTGGGCTGTTCCCAAAAATACTTCCCACTTTTCCATTTTGGACAATTTGTGTTGCTCACATTCATTTTACCTTTTTCTTACACAATCACAACCATACATTTCCACTTTATTCCACTTTCTTAATAAGCGTGCCAAGTTAAACCAGGAAGAATTTTTAGGAACGGAGGGAGTAATAGTCATAGTAAAAGTGTTTAAAAATTCCAATTATACTCCGTACAATACCGCCAAACAGCTAGATTCCACCACCATTGCTCGTATTTAAACTTCGTATGTACTTGTACTGATTGATTCTAAAGCAGCTCAAGTGCTCAACCATTCTTGCCAAAAATCTTTTGTTCTTATTTTTTTGCTAAAAGGATTTCCATTTCCCAATTCACCAGACGCCTTCAATCACTCTGCCAGCAATGGAGCTCTTCCACCGGGCTAAGACAGTCCGTCTCCGGAGCCACCACGACAAGTATTTAACCGCCGACGAGGACGAAGAATCGGTGACGCAAGACAGGAACGGCTTGTCCCCGAACGCGCGTTGGACGGTGGAAATCCCGGAAAACACGGACAACGTCATCCGCATGAAGAGCTGTTACGGGAAGTACTTGACCGCCTCAAACCACCCGTTCTTGCTGGGTATGACTGGCCGGAAAGTGCTGCAGACTCTGCCCAGCCGCCTGGATTCCTCTTTAGAGTGGGAACCTATTAGGGAAGGAAAACATGTGAAGTTCAAGACAAGGTATTGTATGATTAATCGTTGAATTGATGATATTTGTAAAAGAATTAGACGGAGTCCTTTTGAATAAGCATAAGATTCGAGTATTTGGCTCTGAGAAGCATAGAATAGTTGACCTTTTCTCTTGTTCAATTCTACTTTATTAAACCGAATTAAACTTTCTACTACAGGTACGGGCAGTTTCTCAGAGCTAATGGAGGTTTGCCACCGTGGAGAAACTCCGTTACTCACGATATCCCTCATAGGACGGCGACACAGGATTGGATTGTCTGGGATGTTCATGTTGTGGATATTCTGCTATTATCCCCTGTTCCGAAACAGCCTCCTCCTTTGGTTACTCCGTCAGATTCATTCGCTTCCGAATCCGATTCTCCTTCAACAGCTTCAAATACTTCTCAGAGCATTTCCGGTAGAGAGGTACATTTCATTTTCTACTCTTTCCCTTTTGTTCAACTTGTTGTGCCTCTTTGGTCCCATTTTCACTACCTTTTTATGCTTCTTTGGATGCAATCGCTGATTTATATTGAAATATTAATTATTACGGAGTATTTGTGACCACTTGAATTGCTGAAAATTAGTTGTACATCATACGAAGTATTTCAAATCTCACTTTACAACTCAAAATTCACTAACTTCCCACATGATGATATGCGGAAGGAATCACCTGCCTCCAATGCCTGGACTTGACCACCTTTATTTTTGCATTTAAAACAGTAAGCATATACGGAGTAGTTAAGGCCCTGTCCAAAACAACCTTAGATGTAGAGTGGTCTTTTCTTTCTCCAAAATCAGATCAGACCAGAACATGCTAGACCGGACTTAAACAGACCATCCATCTACCAAACCAGATCAGACCAGACTTAAAATTACAGTTCAATTAAAAACATCGGTACTAAGACCCTATCTATCTAAAATATGTAGTTAGTGCACTATTGGAACCATGGAAGGTTCACCCACTCAAATTATTTCAACTAAAGAAGCTTTAAAGAGTCAAACCATCATGTTGTTGCATCGGCCCCTTTTTATTTCACTGGCCCCAACATCTTGAATCTAATATCTCATGGTTGGCCAGTGATTCTGTTATTGTGTCAGCGGATTTTGTTTACTTCTTTCTTTTAGTCTTTTACTCAATGAGTTAGTTTTATTAAGACTTGGGGTTGGAAAATGCCTTTAGAACTCTTTATATTTGTATAGTATAAACTATATAATGTGTCCTGCTACCAGACCCTCAAACCGAAAATCCTATTAAATTACATGAAGTTTATTCAAAAATATGATACTACCTCCGGTAGACTTTGCCAAGTGCAAAGTAGGTGAGAAATAAGAATAGTAAAAACTGTATGGTTGAGATTTGTGCAGAGGAGAGAGAAACATGCAGAACCAAAATTAGTTGCTTTAATAGGAAAGTGACAACGTTTTTTGGAACAACCTAAAAGGGAAAGCTGTCGAAGTCCATGGGACGGAGGGAGTATAATGTAAGTAGTTATTGGTGATCTATTATTATATTGTTCTATTTAAATTTTGCAGTCCGGCGATTCATTGGATAATGTAGCGAAAATGGTAGGAGATGGGAGGGTAATTTTTTATCGTATTGCGGGTGATCATGGGGAGATTGATGAAGGGGTAGAGGAGCTTTGCATGCCTTTCAAGGGGAACAACGTGGCTGAGTTGAAGAAGAGATTGGAGGAAGAGACGAATCTGGATGACATTATCGTTTGCACTCGAAGCGTGTTGAATGGGAAGCTTTATCCCCTTCGGTTGCATCTTCCCCCAAACAATGCAGACATGGCCGTTGTCATTGTCCCGTCATCTTCTAAAGGTCAGGCCTTGTTCTGTTTTCCTAATTTCCCAAAACTTGTTCCCCGGTTCTTAATGTTTGGCTTCTTAAATCTTGCCAAAACCAAGCCTATCCTAAAGGATTTTATGTGTGCATTTCCCTAATTACAAAATATACAGTATTACAGTCAATGTCACTCATGTTTTATGTTTTCATTTTTTGAGTATATTTGTAATTAGCTTCTTGTCTTGGTTCTTTCAGTGGCAAAAGATTTTGCAGCAGCAGAAACAACGCCATTCTAGAGCATCCAAATTTGGAATGGCTGGAGGGTTATTTGAAGTGGGGTTTGCAATTCTGTTGGTCTATGAGAAGTATTTGTAAATACCTTCACATGGTGAAGTTAGGGTGTAATATTTAATTCTTTTTTATTTTTTGTTATTTTCGTATTAATAAATGGCCTAAAGAATCCAGCACTTGAATTCATTAAGGAGTATATATATTAAATAATAAAGTAAAAAAATACTTCTTTGGACAAAATCGAGCAAGTTCCCTCTACTGTTGGGAATGTTGCAGCCACTTCACTGTTGTAGTCATGCCACTGACCAACACCTTTTCTCCAATTTTCTGGATCGAGATGAACTTGTCCGTGGTGACGAGCTTTTGAATCTGTGGCGAGCTTCTGAGCTGGTGATGGCAGCATACTTCGTAAATCTGACATGCAGCAAGAGCCTCAACTTTGTGGACATTTCTAACAACCTTCTAGTACAGGAGCTTCCAGCTTGCCTACAAGGATCATCAAACTCAGGAAATCGGACCCTTATTAGTCTATCGAACTGTCTCGGTAATACAAGCTCATCAAGGTTTTATCAGCATCAACGTTCTTTTTGTGCTGAGAAGGCAATAGCTGTTGATCCAAATTCAAGAGGTGAGGACCATGAATCCTCCACAATCAAACTTGGGATAGGTTTAAGCAGCTTCGCAATTTATTCATAGCAATGCATGGTAACCTAGCCATGCTTATAAGCTGACCTGGAAGTTTTTCAGGACAGGCCAATCATTAGAGGTGGCCAGTGGCCACTCAGCCCCTGGCAATGTGTCCCAGCGAACTATTTGGTCATTTTGAGCCCCGCCACAACTTCAGTAGATGTGCCCTTGGGGCATCACTCCTTAGCTTGGCCACCTTTTTGTTGTAGATGGTGGAAATATCAGTTCGTCTTATCATAAAGGTTCTCCAGCTCCTGGTTTACCTTTGAGGCTGCAAGAGCAGCACACTGGTTCTTTCTGTTCACAATCACTGCACATGCAACTGAAATCAAGTCAACAACAGCTCCAGCAAAAGGCAAAGCACAACGAACCTAACCTAAGCTAATGGAAATCAGAAAGAAAGGGTTAGGACCTCGTCCCTAGCTGGACGTCGAGGTTCTCCAGTAACTGGGAAAGGGAGATCACCATTTAGATTTCAGAAGTGGAGTTAACCAAACGTATTTTGGTTTCCCCAGTACGAAAAGCTATGAATGGTGGCCAAGCATGAGAGCTTCAATTTAAGAACACTTCTTTCTCTTGGAAAATCAGGCATTCAACCGTTTCAACGAACAGCTTTTTACCAGCTATCCTCTACTAGGTTAAATATTCTTAAAATGAAGCAACATGTTGAGAAAGAGGTTTAATGAAGGCAATAAAGATGTAGTTGTAATGATCCCACATCGATCAAGTATGAGTTTGATCGGTGGTTTATAAGCTGGTGTCCCCTCCTAATTGACTAGTCTTTTGGAAGTGAGTTATACACCTAAGCTTATGGCATTGGTATGGACCTAGTTTGGGTTAGGTCCGTAACAGTAGTTTTCTGAATGGTAGAGGAAACGAAGCAATGTTGGATTGAGACACACCGGTGATCCTTTGACACCGCAAAATGTTTTCAATGAGTGCCTCTAAAGGGTCACAACTCTAGAGTCTAGATCATTTTAATCTTAAAGCAAGTATTTCAAATTAAATCTGGAAAATTTAATAACTGACTATTAACAAGTCCTGAAACTTATTTCAGATTATTTGTAATTATAGCTAGATATCTTCCAGGATAAAAGTGGTAGGTGTCGAAGAATCAAACACCAAAATAAAAATGAAATGAAAATAAAGATTGATATGATGCGCCGGCCTCTGAGAATGGGCTGAGGATGAAAAACTATAGCAAAATGCTTCAAAAATAACTCCATCCGAAATCCTTCACTACACCAGTTCCTCTCATCGTACTTCTGAGTTTCAAGACTTCATCCCACTGGCCCACATCTGCCTGGATATTTGACAAAGAAACATATGTTCCAGCTTCATATGGCTCTAATTTAGTAATTTTTTCAGCGGCTACTTTCCCAAGATGAATTTCACCATGCACCTTGCAAGCAGCAAGCAGTGTTTTCCAAACCAAAGCATCAGGTTGTATAGGCATTTTATAAATAAATCTCTCAGCCTCTTTCAGTCTACCTGATCGACCAAGAAGATCTACCATACAAGCATAATGTCGGTTATTAGGCTCTATACTGTAATCTTCTTTCATTGAGTTCAGGAAAAAATACCCTTCTTCTACCAAACCAGAATGGCTACAAGCAGAAAGAAGACCAATAAATGTCTTAGAATCAGGCATGATGTCACATTTCCTCATAAGCTCATAAACTTGTAAGGCCTCAACTCCTTTCCCATGTTGGGCATAGCTTACAATCATGGCCGTCCAGCTAATAAGATCAGGACTCTTGATTTGTTTAAATGCTGGGCAGCACTCATCAATGTTTCCACATTTTGAATACATCATGACCAATGAACTTCCCACACAGGCTTCTGAGTCTAATCCCCGCTTTACACTTTGGGCATGCAATTGGGTGCCAATGCCAGATTGGTTCAACGGACCAACAGGGCAAAGTAAAGATGAAATCGTGAAAGCGTCGACATGCAAATCGTTCACGAGGATTTCATTAAACACTTGAAAGGATTCATTAACATAACCTCTTTGATTGTACCCAGCAATCAAGGAGGAACATGAGAACTTATCTTTGTGGGGCATTATGAGGAATAGCCTCCTTGCTGAAACTAGATCTCCGCACTTTGCGTACATATTCACCAGTGCACTCCCTGCAATAACAAACTCACCTATTCTGCATCGAAGAATAAAACCATGCACTTCTTTACCAATCTTCAGACACTGAAGAGTGGAGCATGCAGATAAGACAGAGCTTAATGTCTTTTCATCAGCCATTAATTTTTCTGAGAGCATCTCTCTAAACAACTTGATTGATTCATCTGCATACCCATGATGTGCAAAACCAGAAATTATTGATGCCCAAGAGACAGAATCTTTACACTCAATAAGCTCAAAAACTGTGTAAGCTTCCAGCAAGCTAAAACAATTGGAATACATCGCAAAAAGACAGCTACTCAAAATAACATCACTGAATAATCCAAATTTAAAGGTGTAGCAATGAATCTGCCTACCTAGATCTAGAGAGTTTACAACACCCAACACACTAGAACAACAAAATTCATCTGGTTTGACCCCCTCATGAAACATTCTCTGAAACAAATGAATTGCCTTAGAGGAACTGAAGCCTAGCAAACAGGCAGAAATCATATTGGCCCATACACCAAGGTGCTTGAGATCTTCAGTCTCGGCAAAGACCATTTCAGATGAACCATATTCCCCAATCTTTGAATACATACTGATCAAAGAGATTTTAACCAGTGAGTCCTGATAAAATCCAGCTTTAAAGATCCAGGAATGGATTTGCATTGCTTCTACACTCATAAATGGCTCAGCAAAAGCTGTAAGCACACTGGAAATGGTAATGTCATTTATTTCAACCTCCTTCTGCCTCATTTCATCAAATAATTGAAATGCGGAAACATAATCTCCACTTTGAACAAAACCATTTATCAAAGCTGTCCAAGAAACAACACTGCGAACTGGCTTCTCAGTGAATTCTTTTACAGCCTCATCCATATACCCTCCTTTGGCATACATATCAACCAAAGCAGTCTGCACAAATACATCATTCTCACAACCACATTTAGTTGCCCATACTTGGACCATCTTCCCCATCTCAAACTCCTTAACTGCAGCACAAGCTTTTAACACACTTGAGATAGTTACACCATTTGGCATTAAAGGTCCATAACACATTTGAATAAACATATCTACAGCATGCCAATATTTTCTACGCTTAACAGCTCCGGATATAATTGTATTCCAACAAACTACATTATCGCATTGAAAATCATAAAACACCCTTAAAGCATCATCAAACCTACAACTCTTAACAAACAAATCTATCGTCCCAGACCTTACATAACCATTAGAAAAGAACCCATTTTTCATTACGAGACCATAAACCTGCTCGCCGCACACCACAGATTCTAAAGCTTCGCAAGCAGAAAGAGCTCCTCCATATGTAAACCTATCCATACATACGGCTGATGCGTGCATACTACAAAAAAACTCCCATGAATCGCTGAACAACAGCGCCCTGTTACAACCCGAAATCATCTGGTTCCAGCAAAACGTATATGGGATAGCCATTCTATCGAACAGCTTAACTGCGTAGTCCATTCTTGAACATTTGTAGTACCCATCCAGTAAAGATTTGACAGCTGAATAGTTCGTAACCGAAGTTTCTGTTCTGAGGAAACGACCATGCAGGATTTTGGTTTCTGATAGGGCCAGGAATGCCGACTTATCGTGTTCTTGGAAGGAGCAAGACAGGTGGGATGTAGCGGAGTTTTCAGAATGTTGGTCTGAGGAAAGTAGCTGGGTTTGAGGAGCTCTGACAACTGAAATCAATCTGTTGCCAAAGACTGATAACTTTGGTTCATATTCTCGTTTTAGTATAGAGTTCATTTCTAAATTCTCATTTTTCATAATTCATTCCTACGGGATGGGAGCTGAGTTGTGGGGCTTCCTTTAAAACTGAATTATGAAGGAGAGAAACGCAATATGGGAGAATCAGGTCGGAAGAGTTTACATTTTGAAGCCCTTCTTCTCCTCCCGCCATAAATAATGCTAAGCGCGCACGTCTTTCATCAGACCTGCACAATTTTGTCCTGTTAATTTTTTGTCATGCCAGATTGCCAACGTTTAATGGGGTCTTCTCCTTTATTTTATGGAGTATAACTTATTGTTGTAAAAAACTAGTATCATCTTTATTTCAATTTAAACATACTTCTTTTATGTGTCATAGTACGTAATATGATTAGATTAATACAGATATGTTTTATTATTCGGATTAGATCATATTTAAGCAAATCAATTGTGTTTGTGCAAATCGGATTTTCTAAACTGTTTGTGTCTCACTTGTTTGAAGTGATGTGAGGTAAACACTCTAAACTTGTATATGTAATTTAAATACTCCAAACTTTATATAAAAAAGTTATTTTCGCATCATTGTCATGTACTATCGTATTATTTCTTTCAAAAATGTAAATTTATGGGGTTAATTGCATAATTTAAAATCGCAAATTAAAAGTGTTGCAATTATATAAATTGGGGGTAACATTATTTATTTCGTAATGAAAGTTTAGAATGTTAATTGTGTGTCTTCATGAATTCTAAAATATTTTAAATTATGCAATAAACATCATAAATAACTTTTTATATAAAGTTTGAGGTATTTAAATTACATATGAAAATTTGGGTATTTAAATTACATATGAAAGTTTGAGGTGTACATCTCGCATCCCTTCAAAGTTTGGAGTATTTTAATTACTTTTCCTTTAAATATAATACTAGTATATACGAGTATACTACTGATTTAGTTTTATCTTGGACCATCTCCTGTTTTCTAAATCTATTATGTTTAAAATAAAAAAGACATTTTCTAAAATAAATCAAATTAGATTTTAACAGATCAGACATTAACAGATTAGACCATGCAATACCATACTAGACTCAGGAAATGGTAAAATATGTGTTTATCAGGAAGTTTATCGGACCATAATTAAACATGTCATACTAGAGCTAAATAAACTAGGGCAAACTAGATCAGATGTTTTTTTAAAACTTCTACGTATACAATATTTGACTATTTGTGTGAGGAAATATCATAAAAATTATTTAGCTTTACATACTCCCTCGGTCCCATAAAATTCTTCCCACTTTTCTTTTTGGGTCGTCCCAAAACATTCTTCTCACTTACCATTTTTGGAGTAGTAGGAGTCTGTGGGCCGGGGGTTACCGGGGATCCCCTTAGTGCCGAGGGCTCCAGTTGCCGAGGGCTACTGATTTTCGCCGTTTTTCCTAGTAACCTTGTTTTCCTGTCTTGGCCCTCCTGTGAGAATTAGAGCCTTCGGCCAGGGGGCCGAAGGCACCCCTGGTGCATATTGTGGGCTGCTTGGTACTCTGGGCGCTGTGATTTGGGCCTATTGTGCTTTCTGGGCCTGTTGGGTCTTTATTGGAGTAGTAGGAGTCTGTGGGCCGGGGGTTCCCGGGCCATATACTCCATCAGGAGTCCCTCACTCCTTTTGCCGAAAGGTACTTGAGGGAAAATGAGTAATTGTGTTTGTCCTCTGCCGTTGTTCCGTTTGTAGTTTGTAGAGTTGTGGGTAGTTTGCTGTTTGTTTATTCTGTCGAGGGCAGTCCCTCAGTTACCCACATGTCAGGACTTGAGGGGTCATGTTTGTGATTTTTGTGATTTTTCCCGAGGGGGTCCTCCAGTCCCCCACTCCTTGAGGCACTTGCAAAGTGGTGAAAAGGAGTAGAGTAGTTGCATTGCTGTTTTGGGCCGAAGGCTGACGCTTTTCATTTCATTTTAAGGGATGCCTCGTTAAAAACCTCATTAGGAAAAACCCTGTGGGAAAAAATCCTAATGAGGGAAAAAGAGTGCACCGAATTCCCCCAACGATGAATCGAAAATGTGAAACCTTGGTTCGAAATGGAGAATAATGCTGATGCCGAAGGCTTTCCTTGTTCTGAGGGCTCATGTGTTGATTAGTCGGAGGCTTGTTGTTGATGTCCTGGGAGGTGCCGAAGGGGGGTCCCTCAATCCGGGGGTCGAGGGCGTAATGAATGTGAGTAGTAGTTGAAGTGTTACTGGGGTGTCCCCTATTTGTTGATTAGTTGGTGAGGAGGGTATCCGAGGGCTCCCGTTACCTGTGTGTCGTAGGCTATCCGTCCCTCAAAGTGCTGAGGGGGGATCCCCGAGGGGTGGCCTGATATGAAGCCTTGGGCTTCTGAAGGAGTGATCCCGAAGGCATCTGTTATGTAATGTGTGGGGCAAAAACCGGGAGTGTCCCCGGGTAAGTGTACCCGAGGGCTCTTCTTGATGAAGTGGAGTGAAGTAAAAAAGACCGGGGGCCAGTGTTTTTTGGTTGATGAAGGAGTGATCTGTCAAGTGTAGCCGGGAGCTCCCAGAATATAGCCGTTGAAAATATAGCCGTTGGAATATCTAACGTCAGAATATAGTCGTTGGAATATCTAACGTCAGAATATAGCCGTTGGGGGGGGGGGGGGGGTTGCCACGTGGTGTGTGCTCGTTGGCTGCTCGTGGGCGGGCGTCACCGATTGGACGGAACCACGGTTCGTAATGATGGCAGTCCAACCGGAGGCCCGGTTTCCAGGCCCAAGCCCGGATCCCAGCGCCTATAAATACCCCATGGCCGGCTTCACTTCCCCTTGTGCGATATCATTGTAGCAAAGCTCTGCTAAAATTTTTAGAGAGAGAAACAGCTGCCTTCGATCAATCCCCGCTTTAAGGTCAGTTCCCCATCTGTTCTTCTCCCTCCTTAGCTAGCTGTAGAGGCCTTAGATCTAGGAGTTGTAACTTAGAAAACTTAGCGTTTCCGAGCCCTCGATCTAGTGCAAAGATGTCTTCCCAAAGTGATTCCCAGGACATCTCGGGGGCGCCCTCGATGGAGGATGAAGTCATCTCGGACTTGAAGTCCACAAGCGAACAGCCCTCGGTGGGACAAGATGCTGTCGTCGCCATGGAGCTGCAGAGAGCCCTCGTTGCTGAGGCGGAAGCCGAGGGCTTCGAACAAGAGTGTGAAGACGAAGAGCTGGCCCTCGCCTGGCAAGCAGCTGAGGAAGAGGCGCAGAAAGAGGGCGCGAGGGTCACCATTGCTGTTCTCCCCCCTCGGGGCACTGGTGAGGCCAGCACCTCTCGGCCGCTGAACGCGGTTCCCATCCGGGTGGTCCCCGAAAAAAAAAGGCGAAGGTTGCTGCTTCCAAGAAGAAGGGCCGCGTCGCAGACCAAGGGAAGCCCCTCAACATGCCCGAGGGGTATTCCTATTTGAATACTGCCGCCTTAGAGTTAAGGTCGAAAGCTGATGCGGCGGATCTCTATGTCACTCAATTACACGTGGGCCCCTCGGCCATCGTGGTGGCACCGGGTCCCGATGACGTCCTCTCCCGGGCTCCCGAGGGCTGCATTGCGGTGCACATCCTCTCCGTGTCGACGGGGCTCCGCTTCCCCCTACACCCCTTCCTTCGGGAGTACCTCCGGTTCGTGGGTTTGGTCCCCTGTCAACTGACCCCGAACAACCACTCCTACATCACGGGCTTCCTCCAGCTTTGCAAATCCTTGGGGGTAACACCTAGCCTGGATCTGTTCTTCCAAAGTTTCAACCTGTGCCGGGGGGGACATGCGAATGCCGAGGGCTTCGCAAACTTGCAGCAGGTGGCCCTGTTCAAGCTTTTAACTGAGGCGCCCTCCTCGAACAAAGGGTGGAAAGACCGGTGGTGCTACGTGAAGTTGTCCGAGAGCCCCTTCCCGAGGGAATTGCGTGACCGGTTTAGGAGGCATGAGAAGCGGAGGAGCGCCGCCCTCGAGAAAGATGGCAGGATCCTGGCAAAGATCCCGGAGGGCCGAGACAAGAACATAACTATCAAGGAGTGCACCCAAGAGGGGGACCTCTACACCCTCGGGTTCCGGCGGTATCGCTTCCTGGGGGAAACGGATGAAAGGTTCCCGGCATTTGAGAGAGCCTCCGGAGGTAGTGGCTGAGAGCATCCGGTCCTTTAGACTTATGTATATTTAGGTGTAGATATGCTTTTTGTTGTATCTTTTCTCCTTCGGCTTTAACCGTTATAATTTTTTTTCAGGTATCAACATGAACCTCAATGCCTTCGCCAACCTTAAAAAACAAAAGGTCAAGGCCCCGGGCCAGAAGGAGCCCCCCAAGCAGAAGCCCCTCGGGGAGTTGAAGAAGGGCAGTGAGCCCTCGGGGGAGGCCGCAAAGCGGAAAGCCGCCGGCAAGGCGCCAATCCCCGAGGGGGAGAAGCAGAAGAAGGGGGATGCCGGGAAGAAGGCTCCGCTGGTGGTGGACGAGCACTCCGCCTCCGAGCCTAGTGCTCCAATGACAACAACTGCTCCTCGCCCGCCCTCGGGTCAAGGTGGTGAGGCAAGCTTGCCCCGGGAGGACATACAGTTCTCCCTGCCGAAGGGGGCAGCCATTACACATGGCACAGTAGACCCCCGGGAATTTTCGGGCGGGGCTACCCCCGCTCTGGATAGGAGGGCCCTCAGGAAGCTCGACGATGAAGCCCTCGAATCAAAGATCTTCCGGTCCTCCCTTACCGTAAGTTCTCCTCCTTCTTTTCTTCTTCTCTCTCTTTTTTGCATAGTGGCTCATGATTCTATCTGTTGCGTGATCGTAGCTTACCCCCTTACTTTGTTGTTTGTTTTAATAGGCCTGCATAGCCCTCAGCGAGCATGCCAGGAGGTTTGATGAGTGGCGCCTTCAGAAAGCGCAGCAGGATGAGTCCCTCAGGAAGCTCGTTCATGACAATGCCGAGGCCATGAGGCAGATGGCTCAGCTGGAGAGGGACCTCCAGCAGGCGAGGGCGGAAGCTGAAAAGGCGGCCAAAGAGAAGGCGGAGGTGGAGAAGGCTGCTGCCGAGGCTACAAAGAAGGCCTCCGAAGATGCCGAGGCCGCCAAAGCAGAGGCCGCCGCCGGTGCAATCGCTGCCTTCATGACCGAGGGCTGGAAGGCTGAAGGCCATAAAGACTGGGTGGCCCCGGTCATGGAGGGATCCGCCGACGGGTGGGTGAAGGGCCCCGGGGCGATGTGGCTAGCCCGAAAGGGTGAAGATTACTATGTCGGGGGGAGTTCTTCACCCAGGCCTTGA